GTGTGCACAAAAACACTTTTTGTATGTGCAAACACATCAGCAATGCGTTCCCATGGTCTTCCAATTGGTAATCTTCAACGTGAAAAAAATCTTGAATTTCAAGGATTTATGTGTTAAATGAAATGTAGTGTTTATTATTTCCATAAATTTATTCATTTCATTGGTTGACCATTTATGCGAGGAGTACAACAGTTTGGGTAGCGAGATCGTCGTTTATTTTCTTTTTTAGCTAAATAGTGATTCTTTCTGGGCTAAAAGTAGATCACCATCAGCGAATTTTTTATTATGTTCATCCATAATATATGTGTAATTGCAATTAGGTTACGAGAAACACGGTTATGACCTATCAATATTTTACATGAAATATGATAAACAAGATCAAGAAGGAAAGGCGGCGTTCAAAGAACGCAACCCCCATACGACCCAGCAACAAGAACCAGTGGCAAGGAGCCCTGACGGACCCCAAACAAAAACAGGACAGGGCACAAGACAGAGCTCGGACAGGTTAATCACTAATTGATAAATAAATTGAAACTGATTAGGAATTCAAAGAAACCAAATAAATGATTGAATAACAGGCCCACAAAGTCAAAGGGCACAGGGAAAGGGGGCAAGAGACCGGGGAGGGGGGTGTTAATCAAAGAAATAAAAACTAGGGGTAAAAGGGGAAGATACTACCGTAGACGAGAAAACAACAAGGGACACAAGCAAAAGTGTCACCAAAACAGTATGAAACAACATAGACATACATCTGAGAAACACAGAGGGACGCCGCCTTGGAACGGTCAGCAGCATAATAATGACTGCTGGGGAGTTTAAACCGGTTAATGGTGCACCAAACCTCGCTCTTAGCCCCACCATGTTCCTATAAACGAGACAGTGTAAATAAAATGAATCCCCGCCAAGTGAAATTCTAACAGTTGTCATGGTAACAAAAGGTTAAATAAGTAAAACACCAAAATTATCATGTAGAAACATATAAAAGTAAACCCAATGACCATTACAAAAGTATTCAATGTCCTAAAGGAAGACAGAGCAACAAGAAAGAAAATCATCTGCAAGGGCCCGACGAAGCAAGGCAGAAGACGAGCGTTAAGACAATTCAGTCCCAAAAGGCTTTAAGAAGATATATATACTTCTATTTTTGATGTCACACCTGCATAAGTAGCAACTCTTATATGTTTTTGATACAGGACTTTGTAAGGTTATACTAAAGCAAATGCAAATATAACTTTACTCGTAAATTGGGAATGTTCTACATGATTGGTAGATGAATATGAAGACCACTGACCTTATGCGTTATAAGCGTCTATAAATGTGGTTACTCAAAATGCCATCTTTGATTTACGCAGTGACGGCTGATAAAAAACGTATTAAATATTTTTAAACATTTTGTCATTTTGGTTTTACCCTCTTTTTCGTTGTTAAATTTAAATTAGTTAATACGTTCTTTAGTTATTATCGTGTGTATATTATTAACAAACGTGACAAAACCTTTTTGTATGTGCCCTATCTTTGGTTTAAACAATGTTATGTTTTATTTTTTATTGTACTTGTACTTTATTTTACACGCATTTAAATACTGTAAATATAATCATGAAGTAATTTAGTAGAAAGTTGAAATCGTGTGGAGGAAATAAAAGTATCTTCCATAACATAATTGATAAAAATGAATAAACATATTCTCAGTATTAAATATACACTATGATTTAGATATAATTTTATTTACATTCGAATAACATGAAGCGTCTGAACCCACTCCTTATATATAAACTAACATGTAACAATTTTCAATGAAATGTTTACAACTGTATAATTTATCGGTTCAGTATTTCATAATTCAGAATTATCGATTAGAACTAGGACTAAGCCATTTTGCTCATATTGATTTTAAATTATATTCTATAAATTTTTAATTCAGACTCCACAGTTTTAGACTATAGATTGTCAGACCTTTTAAATGGTGTATCAGAAGAATATGATGGTCTATAAGTGTAACTGACTTTCAAGTACACGTCGCGGTATTTATAAATAGGTTGCAAAATTATGTGAAGAGAAGAAACATGTTACTGGCTGTAGAGTTAGCATTGACACTAAATCACATATATTTTTTGCAATGGCTTGATTATGTTGGTTTTTATTTACAATTTTGACCCATCTACAAAAACTTACACTACACTATGCAAATTATTTATGGAAACTTTTAGGTCTTTTTAAATTTGATATCCAAAACTTGGTCTTGATACATCCTGACAGAAGATAAAGTCAGCACTTCCATTTTTAAGTAAACAATAGCTGGAAATCTAATCTCAATCATTTACTTTTAACTTTATGTGATTGATTTATTTTACATCTAATAGTACAAATGAAGACGTTTGCTAAAATAGCGTGAATTATTGCGTTTTGAATATATATATATATATATATATATATATATATATATATATATATATATATATATATATATATATATATATATATATATATATATATATATATATATATATATATATATATATATATATATATATATATATATATATGTATACATATATATTTATATATACATAAAAAATCTTCTTTTAGAAAACCCAATAAGCTAGACCTTAGATGTTTAGCAAACTCCAACTGTATCGATATCGCTTGTAATGATATATCGGTTATATCGATACGTTTGTCTTGGTCCCTGCCAACTTCCATTATAACCTAACGGAAGCATCCTCGCATATATCGATATCGCATGTATCGATATTTCGGATATATCGATGTGGATTTTCAACCCCAACGCACATATATTACCTCTTAAAACGATAATTTGCTGCACAAGTTTGTTGTGGAAGAGCGGTCTCGGTCCGCTTGTTTTAATGCATAAATATCTGCTCGATTAAATACATTGACGCGGAACATGTTCTGTGCGTACGTAACTACCGTTTTGTTCTCAATACAGGTGAATTCATCTCAAAAAATAAAAGCATGGTTTTGTCCTTTTATTGTTTCCTTTCAATAACAATTTTCGTTGTAAATAAGTTTATCAGTTGGGTGGAAAAAACTTGACAAACGTATGACACGTGAGAAAAGATCTATTCTATTGTTTGTTGATAATTGCCCGGCCCATCCGAAAATCGAGGGATTAAAAGCTGTAAAACTGTTGTTTTTCCCACCTTCACATCTAAGTTACAGCCCTGTGATCAAGGGATTATCTTTTCATTCAAAAGGCATTACAGGTCACGTGTCCTTGACCATATTATTTCATGTCTAGACAAACATATCGATAAACAGATTAACATTCTAAAAGCTATACAATGGTTTTATGCGGCATGGAAAGATGTAACACCGACGTGTATCCAGAATTGTTTTAGAAAGGCTGGATTTATGAATCAAGCACAGCATGAAATTAATGCGACCCCGCAGGGGCATGTTTCCGATTCGTCTGACACAGACGAGTTCGAGGACGATGACATTCCGCTGGCTGAATTGGCATCGAAATGGAATCGCCTTAGAGTATTCAGTGACATAGACAAAAACATTTCTTTTGATGATTACATAAATGCCGATGAGAATGTTGTCTCCGTTGAGCAGAAGTCCGATAGCGATATAATAGCGGAGGTACAGCAAAAATTGAAACCCTGTCGCAGAGTGACGAAGAGAGTGACTCTGAGACTGTTGATGACCCCCACCCACCATGAATGAGTTTCTTAATGCTATAGACACTTGCAGACGCTTTGTTCTTTCTAAGTCTGATTCGTGTGATTCTGTTTTCGGATGTTAACATGAACTTGAGAAATTTTCAGTTGAAATAGGGAAAGCCAAAAAGCAGACAAAATTAACTGATTTTTTCCGACAGTGAATGTCTTTGTACATGAACAAAACTTAAACAAGATTTACCCATGAGTGTAAATAGTTAAAAAAGTAATTTAATTTTGACGTTTTTTTCCAGTGTGTAAATTTAAGCCAATGTAAGGTTACCAGTACCTGTGTACATATTACTTTCAGTTTATGTCAGTTTTGTGTTTATTTTGATGTGCAACTGATTTTTTATGCATTCAACATTGATATGCATAAAAAGAATAAAGTTTTGTCGTAAGTACATGATTGTCACATGTCTAGTATATAATGCTACTGCTTATACATGTTGAACGATGCAGTGCATCGTCAGTTAGCTACACACCGTACAGAAATTCGGTTGTAACGATATTCGGATATATCGATATAGTTTTGTTGTCCCTGAATATCGTTATAAGCGGAGTTTACTATATATATATATATATATATATATATATATATATATATATATATATATATATATATATATATATATATATATATATATATATATATATATATATATATATATATATATATATATATATATATATATATATTGTAGTTCATAAGTTATCTATGTAAAAAGTTGTTTCTGACAGGTAAAAAAATCGGAATAGCATGTGTGGTTACTGTAACATTATCGTGTTAATATTTTTTATTGCAAAAGATGCACACGTAGTTATTTATCGTTCATGAGAAGTAAATTATAGAATTGAAAATAATTATGGCAAAATGTAAACTTATTTTGACTTTCACTTTATAGTCATTGAAGGGCATAATGTCACTCACCTTTTATTAATAGTATAATAATAAACAGTAGGGCATAAACATAGGAAATATGACGCTAAATAAGAAGAAAAACTTTGAATAGCTACAATTGGCAGCACTGTTCCCCCTTCTTTTAGCTGTTTTTATCGTTTAATATTTTCATATCAGCTTGGTATCTGCCTGTTAACCTTTATCACATTTTTGCCCTTATTTTTTGTCAAGAGAAAAGGCCTAATAAAGACAAAGTGACTAATAAAGACATGTTTTAAAGTTTTAACAGCTGAAAGGAGGGCCATAGGACCAACTGTATCTGTTTAAAAAAATTATTCTTTTCTTATAAGCATGTGATTATTTCATAAATGTCTCGGCTTTTTGTTATAAAAGACGTACGCTACATGTAATTTCAGGCTTTGACGATCATGTTCGATGCTTTTGCTGTGGAATCGGTGTGAGGGAGTGGCAGGAGAATGACGATCCCTGGGTCGAACACGCTAGGTGGTCCATTACATGTCCGTTTGTAAAATATAGAAAAGGTGAAGACTTCATACAGAATATTCAACGTATGCTGGTGCGTTGGTTGATGTTTTCATAATCTACAATCTATAATCTTCGTAGTTGTTAATATTTGTAAATTTCATTTACAAAACTTTTGAAATTACAGGAAATATGAATTATAAAAACGAATGTTGTTATAATTGTTGTTATGATTGTTGACACTGTTGTTATAATTGATGATGCTGTTGGTGTTGTTGTTGTTGTTGTTGATGATGATGTTGCTTTGGATGCTGCTGTTGCTTTCGTTACCGCCACAAACGCCATTGCCATTGTTGGTGTTGTTGGTTCTCTTTTTTTCTTCTTTTTTTAATTTTGCAGTTAATTTTACCGCACTTTTACTTTTGAAAACTCAATGCGTCAACAATAAACATGTAACAAAATGCATTATTTTCAATTACTGTAACACTTGTCATTAAATTAATTATATATTCTAATAATAGAATGCTACAAGTACACAAGAAACCGTTCAGACAGACGATAATCCAACAATTTTACAATGTCAGGCTGCAAGCTACCTGTTACGACAAGGTTATTCTGAAGAAATCGTAATAACTGGAATCGCACAATTTATATCAATGAATGGTAAATAATCTCATTGTTTTGTTGTCTCATTTTTAAATTCCATTCTTATTAGTATCGTCCTCGATTATTATTAGTAGAAGTATTAGTATTATCATAACCACCGCCATCATCATCATCATCATCGTGTTATTCAAATACTTAATTTGCACCAGAAGAATTCTAAATGTTTTTACTGTTTATTTCTATATATCACAATAATCATCATCATCATAATGTTAATCAAATACTTATTTTACCGGAGAAGAACTAGGGTTAAATGTTTTGACTTTTGATCATAATCATTATAATTGTTATCATTATTTTCATTTAAAAGAGAACACGATTTCTAAGTACGGGCATGAAAATATGGGTATTTTACGTTTACCTATTTTGTAGTTTAGTCGGTAAATCAACTAGTGTCAATGGACATATTCCAATTAAAATACATGTTCTAAATGTACAAAGATTTGGTTATAAGTAAAATATATAAGGAGATAAAGGATTTTGATATATTTAGATGGAACAACTGAGTATAGGCTCATTTATTTATGTTTCCAGGGTATGAACAGATGATAAATTCACCACTGAATGTAATCGAGTTCGTACAAATGGCTCAGCCAAACCTTGTGGACCCAAATAACCAAACTGATTTGTCCAGTTTTGCTTTAGTAACTTACGGTCAAAGTGGAGGGATTCAAAACTCTGACAGTGGTACGTATTTATTTAATGAAAAATATCGATGATCAAATGTTATTTATCTAAATTGTAAGAACTAGTTTTTCTTAAAATTATTATAATATAGAGACTCTTCATCAAAAGGGACCAATGTCTTAAGACAGTTGACGAGTCCGTTATCCTACGAGACTGTTGTCTTTAAGAAACTAATATTTTCCTGAAACTGGGTCGATCTTTTAACATAAACAATACATTTTGAAAATGTATAAAATAATATATAACCTTATCTGTTTTGATGACCTATATAAATGATAAGTGAAAACGGTTTTCAGCGTTTTTCATGTTGTAAAGATACATTGTTTTATGTGAAATAATTTGTCACCGAATGAGCAAAACATAAGCAATTTTGTATAAAATACTAAACCACTGTAATTTTACTAGTGGTCAAAAAAGCAAAGGATGGTAATGAGTACAGTGTTAGATATTATAACGAATTTTTTTGAGAAATAAAAATGAAAGAATTTTTGTCGATGGGGACTTAACGGGCCTTTAATATGATAAATTTCGCCACGTGACAATTAAAACATATCAAGAAACTTGCCATATTGAATAATGACTATCTATTGTAATAAGGACTAATTATAATCAACATCCAAATACGTAATAATGGAAAGATACATTCCGTGTACAATTTAACAATTTCAAATGTTTGTAATATTTCAGAATTGTACCACCTAAGACGACGGGTTCTGGAACTAGAGACCCGATTACTTTGCAAAGTTTGCTTGCAGCAAGATGCGTGCATATTGTTCCTTCCCTGTGGTCACATGGCCTCGTGTATTGAATGTTCACATGCGTTGAATACATGTGCGATATGCAGAGCTGGTATTCAGGGAAAGATGAGGGTGTTTCCTGGTTAAACTTGGCTAAAAGAAATACGTGTGCGCGTGTGCTTTTTATGCTTCATTAAAGCGTGCGCGTAACTGCGTGTGCTCTGGGTGCGTGCGTGATTTTGTTTTGTTTTCATGAATCTCATTTCAAATAAAATAAGTAATAAAAAATATTTTGCGTTTTTCGTTGTTATTTTTTCATGTTAATTTATTTCCTTATAAACAATTTCAAATACATTGATGTACTTGTATGCATCGCCTAGAATCAAGATGAAATAGCATCGGATGCGGCCAAGTATCTGTTTATCATTTTCAAGTTTTACTCTGTTAAATATGTACACAAGCGAGGTTTTGCACAGGAATGGTTAGCTGTGCAGAAAAATCGAAAAAAAAAAATATTACCAAGACGAATGTCTGAATTACGGAAGAGCATTAGTGCCAGGTGTATGTTTTTTATTAACTCGAAATTTCGAGTTACTAACTCGAAATTTCGAGTTACTAACTCGAAATTTCGACTTACTTATCTCGAAATTTCGAGTTACTAACTCGAAATTTCGACTTACTAACTCGAAATTTCGTGTAACTTATCTCGAAATTTCGAGTTACTAACTCGAAATTTCGACTTAGTAACTCGAAATTTCGACTTAGTAACTCGAAATTTCGACTTACATTGCACGACTTTCATTGGTTGCCGGTGAAAGCAAGGATTGAATTCAAGATACTTTCTTTCGTGTGTAGCTGTTGCACATTGACAGAGCACCTTTAACATTTATTTAACAGAACAATTTTATAGGGTCAAATTGTCCACACATACTGAACATATCCTTCGCTTTTTTGTGGAGGGGGGATGTAAAATCACACTTTCCACATTTCCGTGTTAACCGGGTGTTTCTTTTTCTTAAGCACACATACAACCATCATATGGAGAAACAACAAGTCCAAAACCCACCCTATTGTAAACTGTGCAATATCATGTGTTAAATAAGTTTTAAATGACGTGTATACGCCAGTTAGTCTGTCACGTTTCTTTATACTAATAATGTTTTTGTAACATTATTCATTATTTACTAATACTTTGATTCATATTGTGTTGATAAAAGTTGATAAAAGTGATACTTGTTATAATATATATGTTGGGAACAATATAAAAGCATCCGATTTTACAAGAAATATAGTCAGTCTAACAATTTCGACAAAGGCCTCAGCACGCCCTATTTTGACCACGCCGCGATACTTTCCTCAGATGTACGGAATGCCGTTAGGGCCATTGCCTATGAATGTGTTGATCTGAAACGCGATAGTCGATAGTACGATGGTGAAAACGCGAAATCACGAAACTACGATGGTGAAAACGCGAAAGCACGATGATGAAAACGCGAAAGTACGATGATGAAAACGCGACAGTACGATACTACGATGATGAAAACGCGATAAACTATCGTGTTTTCACCATCGTACTGTCGCGTTTTCACCATCGTAGTTTCGTGATTTCGCGTTTTCATCATCGTACCATCGCGTTTTCATCATCGTGCTTTCGCGTTTTCACCATCGTAGTTTCGTAATTTCGCGTTTTCACCATCGTACTATCGACTATCGCGTTTTAGATCAACACATTCATAGGCGATGGCCCTAACGGCATTCCGTACAGATGTCCCACACGTGAAGTATAGGATCGGTTTTTTTACAGGGATGAGAAGAATATGATTAGTGAAAAGATATGTTCGAACAGATGGGATAAAATACAACGTCTTAAGAACGCCTGAACGTACAAATTAAAGGAAGCCTTGTATTTTTTAGGTCGGGTGTGTACATGCCATTACTAAGTTTAAGTTAAATTTCAATAGTTTTTGTCCAGGCACCCGTTTCTCCATCTCCATCGTTCAACGGCACTCCCTACTATATCTTATACCATATAACTAATAACTTTGGCCGGGTTAGTATGTCGAAATTTCGAGTTAGTATGTCGAAATTTCGAGATAAGTAACTCGAAATTTCGAGTTAGTAAGTCGAAATTTCGAGTTAGTAACTCGAAATTTCGAGTTAGTAAGTCGAAATTTCGAGTTAGTAACTCGAAATTTCGAGATAAGTAACTCGAAAATTCGAGTTAGTAAGTCGAAATTTCGAGTTAGTAACTCGAAATTTCGAGATAAGTAAGTCGAAATTTCGAGTTAGTAACTCGAAATTTCGAGTTAGTAACTCGAAATTTCGAGTTAATAAAAAACATACACCTGGCACTAATGCTCTTCCGTACTGTAAAGATCTTCGCAGTAAATTAATGTTGTCACGAAAATTCCGTACTAGTAGTTCTGTTTTATCCTATGACAGGACGAGTACGCTGAGATCAATGTCATATTGTGCATGGAATCTGACACTATATGAAGTTCTTACTTAGTGCTGACACGCTTGGACATTACAATGAAAGGGAGACACAGGCAAAATTTTCATTTCTTCGTTTATGATTTTTTCATTGATTACTCTGTAAATGTCATTAAAATAAATACACTAGGAACAAAACTTTACTACTTATAAAGAATACAATGGTGGTTTCCTCACTTGACCGACGTTAAGATTTCACAATAGTTGCCACAGTGAACTTTGGACACGTTAAATAATGCGTCAAATGAATGACTTAGGCTTGTAACAATCATATTCACGATATCTGTTATTGTAACTTCTGAGGTTTGTTTCAAGTCACATGGCTTGTTTTAAAACTACTCAGTGATTTCGTTCAATATATCTAGATATATTTACGCTTCAAAGCCAATATATATAGAATTAATATAGAAATCCATGATGGGACTTCAAAAATGTTATTTTAGCGTGATTTGAGTAAAACAAGGCATCAGACCCGTTACAAAATCTAACCAAATTAAGAAAAAGCACAAGTCTATGGCCTGGACAATAGTATAATGCTGTATTGTTCGTGAAGTTAGGGGTCTAGCAGCAAACATTTTCATAGGTAAGCGACAGCCATCATTTGTCTTATAGCTTTGATACATGCATGATTTTTCTTAACTTTTAGAACTGTACAAAGTGTCCATGTTTATAAAAGCCATGTCGAATTAACAGAACGAATTGTGGTAAGTTTAATTAAGTGGACAAAATCTAAAGATGTTATTATATTATATATGGCATTAAGGTTTACATGCTTTGACACAACATATATATTATGATTTTTATTTCCTTAACCAATATGGACAAAATACGTATTTAAATTATCATCAAAACTACAATCTTCGACCCACCATAAATATAGCTTTCTACATCGATTGTCTGTTACTGTCGGTTATTTTGTGGCAATATATGTAATTTTATAAAAAATATTTGTTTTGTTTAAACACCCATGCCATTTAAAAGTATCTTTTACTAGAAGGGAGTAAAAAAAACATAGCTTGAGCTAGGACCTTCAAATCGTAATTCTTAATTTGTAAATACGCATAATTCCTAGTCCCACGTCATTAAATAAAGGATACATGTTGAGTTGATTATTTTCATTAAGGCGTCCTCATCAGCATATGTGATTTCTCATTTTCAAATGATCATATTAGATGTCACAAAAACAAATTCCATGATGGAAATGCACTTTAAAGACAACCAGTCATTTAAATCCATAATAGTCACAAAATCCAAGAATTCCGTGTGCTACCGAAATTTGGATACAAAATGGCTCATAATTATGTTAGTCCTCATCATACATTTTATCTCAATTCTAACATAAATTCTAATGCCATATTTATGTTTAGTTTAATTATTTCTTCGTTTTCAGCACCTTCACTCCTGTTCATATATTTTTCACATAATTTTAAGTATTGTATAGTATTTTTAAATGTTGAATTGTCCCGTCTCACAACGGAATGATGTAAGTGATTTTTACTATAATTATTAGAAAGAAAAAAGCGAGCATAAGTGAGCGACCATGTGTGCAATTTCACTTAATTCAGTTGAGCCGCGTCACGACAAAACCAATATTATGGGTTTGCGACCAGCATGGATCCAGACCAGCCTGCGCTACCGCACAGTCTGTTCAGGATCAATGCTGTTCGCCATCCCTTTCTCCACTTGTAATAGAGTTGATAAGCGAACAATATGGATCCTGATCAGACTGCGCGGATGCGCAGGCTGGTCTGGATCCATGCCGGTCGCTAACCCATTATGTTGGTTTTGTCATGACACGGCTCATTTATCGGTTACGGCAATCAATCTCGCTTAAGCCGGCATCATGTGTGTACATGTCTTTCGATTAGTATCGTCGGACACATGTACCCACGGGCGAACCATTAACATTTATTACATGTTAATCAACCATGGGTATCTTAAAAGCTTGGGGGATATTAATCAAAGGGCTGCAAGCTCTGTGGTATTTTCTGATCTTTGCAATCTAAATTAAACTGACTATCTGTATGTATTTTCCTATATATGTTTATTTTTATATACTATAATTCATCTTACGCAGCGACTGCGTTAAGATTTTTTTTTCTATAACAGTTTGAGATTGATACATATGGAATTTTGCAGGACTAGGGTTGCATCAAAAATCATTTTTTATGACAGCCACACTTTATCCTTGCATATCGTGGCTACTTCCTTAAAAAAAAACACTTCAAAAAAAGTTGCCTCGACTAGGATTTGAACCTTAGGCCTCTCACACCCTAAACGAGCGCGATACGAGCGCGATACCCCTGCACCACGGTGAAGTAATACGTTATATGTAGCCTGAATGAAAACAAATACATTGTAATTCTAACTTGAGAATTTCCATTTCGTGTTTGTAATCCTTATCAATTTCGAGGTATTTTGTTCACGATAAACCTGTTTAACACTGATAAGAATAATTTAGCGAAAATCTTCTCGCCAAAACAGTCCGACATGTATATATTCCACTACTCGGCAGTCAGATTTATTTGTGTACTACGCCCTGGAGTATTCAGTAATCGACATAGCTAAAAATAGCATTATCATTGATTAAAATGATCTTCATCCGCGAAATTTGTGATTGTAACCTCATATTTCTATTGACTTATCTGAACTTTCAATGCACTGTAATTCGTTAAATGCCTACATTAAAAATTATTTTGTCTTTTAAATTGCTGGTTTATAAGCAGTTTCGAGTGAGATCTACTTTGCATTGTT